ACACACACACACACACACACACACACACACACACACACACACACACACACACTCACACACACCGATTTGAAAATTAGCATTGACTCACTGTTGCCGGCTGAGCGGGAGCATGAGATGTAAGGTTCTTCTGGACATTGGAGGCGTTTTCGGCCTTGGCGGCGGCGGAGGCAACTTTGCCCTCCAGGATGTTGGTTTTGACCACTTTGAGGTCTCGGCCCTTAGTGGGCACGTAGCCGTCCTTGAGCGAGATGAGGACCGGGCCACCGTTCTTGCCGGCGAACCATTCCTCCGCTTCCAGGGCGGGGTCAGGCCCCGCCGTGTCCGGGTATAGGTCGTCCTGGAACAGGTCCGACTGACAGGCGGCAGGTTTCAATGGGTAAGTCACAAATATAATATTCTTGTTAAAAACATTTTTTAAGCATTTATACAAACGAATAAACATTGCCTACATAATACATGGTGGGACCTCACTGCAATTGAGTAAATTAATTTTCCCTCACCTTCCGAGGGACAGTCATGATGACCGGCTCGCATTTTCTCTCCTGTAATTTGTAGAACCTGAAAGGGGGAAATTTGTAATCAATCCAGTGAAGCCAACTCTATCACAGTTCACGTCAAGATACGGTATGGAGTACATTTTGTTCCCCAAAGTCGTTCTAAACTGCGTGAATTATGAGCCCGGTCCCCATCTCTCCCAGAAACATGGTGAAAATGCCCCGAATGGCCCCCATACCTGGCAATTTCACATTTGTTGACATCGAGTCCGCGCTTGGGCATGTACCCCATGCCCCTCTGCGGCTCCTTGGTGGAGAAGGTGTTGAGGTAGTGGACGTACGGAGCCTCGTCCGTGATCTCAAAGTACCGAATGCTGCTGTCGCCCTGAGGAAAGGGGCCGGCGCCCGCACCGTGAGTGATGATGATGATGATGGAGGACAGCGGACAGAAGACAAGCCGATGCTCACCTTTCCACACAGGTAGACTATGTTGGTGTCGGGGTCAAAGAAGGGGAGCAGGACACCGTTGCTGGAATCCATCTCTTGAACGCAAATGGGCTCCTCCATGTTGTCCTGCTGGCACAATTTAGTATACTTAGCTAACATGCTGACAAAAATGTCATTTTGACATTTACTTTTCACCAATCGGTGCGCTTTTTAACCCTTTCGCGCACCCTGAAACCTAAGAACATGACAAGCTGTCCGCTGTCGTAACCGCTGTCCCTCAAAGGGTTAAATGAATGGCACGTGTAATTTTTTTCACATAACGCGGTACTGAGAATGGATGATGGCTGAATGTTACGACCCTGTAAAGTGAATTCAGAAAATTGTTTCTCAATCAATACTGCACTGCCTACATGTTTGACAATAACGGCTGAAGAAGTGCTGAAACTGAGAACATTGAAAAGGTTTGCGACCATTTCGGTTTTATGCGACTTGGGATGTGCTTGGCGCACACTTTGTCTACCGGACGCGCTTCCTGAAACCACACACCCATTCATCCGGCACTGGAAAACTTCAAAGGCTCCAAGTCGGTGGGGGCTTGGGGGCGGGCGCAGATGATCCTGTCTCCGATATGAACCCCGTGCTGGCCACTACACTTCCACTGCAGTCTATAATATTGTATTATTTAATATAATAAAATAGAATTCACTCTCTATTAAGAATATATATATAATATATATATATATATTTATGTTATATTTAAAAACATTTGTGTCACTAATCAATAATTTAATAAAATAATTTCTCAATGTAAATTTATTCCAATGTATTTCTTCCCTTTTTTAAAAATTCATTTTTCAATAAATTACCCAATTTTTTTGAATGAGATAAATAAATACAAAATACATCAAAAAATGAAGTACACATTTAAATGAACCTTATTTAGGTGGGGAAACCTCCCGGCCGAATTACTGCAACAAATACTGAAAGATTTTTTTTGTCAATGCAGGATGGGTCGGATTAATGTGCCCCCCGCCTGCCCTCGGGCCATAGTTTGCCCACCCGCTCTGACAGAAGGATACCAACAATTGGTGTGTTACAGCGCAGGCTCCATTTTGCACTACGGCGCACCCCAGTGGAGCTGCCCAACGTGACTTGAGTCAGATTCCAGGAAAGGTGACCTACGGTTTTCCATAACGCTAGCTGGCGCTCGCTCATGCGGCTGAATCCAGTGGTGAAGATCTTTCCGTCTGTTAGGAAGATTGCTCGCATTGGCCGAGCTCCCTCGTGGGCTTTGTCCTTCTCCTGAAAACAACAAACGCACTTGTCACACTGAGGCGGGCATAGCGGGGAACCGGTTTTGTTTAAAACTGTCGGCCAACGTCTGGCGACCGTTTGGCGAACATCTGCGACCTTGAACGAACCCTGACGGGAATGCGTGACATGGAGGAGCAACTCCACGTGTTTATCCGAACAAGTGAGTCGCCGACCATGTTGACTGCACACTAAAATTAAAAAAAAAAAAAACGTCCAAGACTATCAGGACCGGAACCAATCAAAGGAGGGTCCTTCTTTTCACTCTCTCTGATTGGCTGAGACCATGATATTCGTGTTCATTGAGTGACACTTTAAAATCAAGGAGACTTTTTCGATTCTCTAACGGCAGGTTGCAGATGGTGCAAAGATATTTGCAGTCTCCATAAAATGCCATTGTACAGCTTATTTTCGAGTGATTCGTCGCTGTTTCAAAGCGTATTAACACCCTCTAGTGGCGGAGAGTCGATACTGCAGTCAAGCGACACAATCCAATTCCTCAATAATTCGAGGGAAAAGGATTCTAAGACGATTTGATACCGATGCCAGTGCAAAACAGGAAAGGAGTGCTTTGTCACCATCTTGCGGCATTTTGCCGCCGTTGAACTGTGTCGAAGTGAGTAGAGGGGCTTCATTCAGTCAGGCCACAGGGAATGAAGATGGAAACAAGCCAGAAAACTATAATCGTGGGCACAGCATCTTTACTCTCGATGAAACGTTTACCGTTTTCAGAACACGCCCCCCCGCCCACCGACAGTTAAAGTGGTTGTCATTCCACTCACCGCCACGATCTTCTTTTTGCGGGGGTCCACCACGCGGACCTTTTTGTCCTTGCAAGCAGTGCACAGGAGGCTGCCGTTGCGGCTCCAGCTGACACTAAAGATCACGTCGGGATGCATGTCATCCAGGGTGATCATCGCTTCGCCCGTGCCTACGTTCCAGATGACCACCTGGTTGTCGCACCCTAAAACGGGGGACGCAAAGACTGTTCATCAGGACAAATGTCGTCATTTACTCCCTTTTGATCGAAGTCTGCACAAGTGCGATTATCAGATGTCTCGAAAGAACAGACATACGGATAATTGGGCCGTATTTTGTCCCATTTCCGTTTAAAGTCAACAAGGTTTGATTGTTGAATGTCTCTAAAAGATCATCCTGAGTGATTATCCCGTGGTGTGGGGTGTTGTCAAAGTGATTTTTCCTCTTCAAGATGCTCGGAAAGTGGTTGTGGTCCAACAACAGTAAATGTAAAGATAACGTACTTAGAAAATGCTCGGGCTGCGAATCGTGCCCTGTGGCACACAGTGTGCTCTCATCTCAAGTACACCATCCACAACAAGAGCTTTGGAAAGCATTTTCTTTCATGCGTGGAGTCTCTCACATTTAAAAAAAAATCAGTTAAGATGTGAAAATTGACTACGTCTTTACCACACGGGACCAAATAAAACGGCTGAGTTTATTTGGGGCTTTGGAGCCCAGCTGTGCAAAGCTAGCAAAATGAGACAAAGCAAAAACAAAAGCATACCGGCGCTGAGGAGAACATTGCGAGCGGTGGGGTGCCAGGACACGATGCCCACCCGCTTGGAGTGACCCTCCAGAACCACCACGGCCTCGGAGAGGGGAGACTCCAGGCCGTTCTCTGGGATCTGCCAAACCTGGAACGTGCAAAAAAATAAATAAATGAAAAGCTTAATGTGGAAACGATGACAGCTCATGATAAACAAAGATGTTTATTGCACAAATCATGTGACTGAGTCGAGACCAAAAAGGGCGTTCTTACCATAACGGTGCAGTCCTCGGAGCCGCTGGCTATGACGAGGTCATTGTGAGGACACCAGTCGATATCCAGCACGGGACCCGTGTGTCCGCACACCGTAGGGAACACTTTGTCGATGCGCCCCGTCTACGAGAGACACCAGGGGAGTGAGCCTTCATTATTAAGTCGATTGGGTATTGATCTCATACTTAGCAATTATTAAGGTAGAAGTGTTGTCAAAATGCTAAATCGACGAATTCATACGACCTCGGGGTGGTTTTTCCTTTGTCATATATTGGCAACTCCCCATTGATTAATTTTTTTTTTTTTAAATCCAATGTGAAAAATGCAATAACGTGGAAAGAAGTGAACACCATTCAACATATTGACTCGAATGATTGATTATAAAAACCGGAATGTATCTATCTCAGTCAAACAGTCCTATCGATCCATATTCATCCTGTAACCAGAGGAATTTTATTCAGCTGTGCCTGTGAACGATGAGGCCGCCTCAGATTATGGCGATGCCACGGCTCATTAAGTCCAAGTGATGACACGGAAAGCATCATGAGGCCAGTAGTCGAACTTTATGTCTCCCTCCCCCCATTGAGAGTATCAAATGTTCATTGGTGTAACTGGAACACAACACTGCAGACATTGATTATCTGCATTTTTATGGCACTGGCATTGATTAAGCATGCGTTCTCAAAGCTAACAAACCCATATTATATGATCGGAGCTTCACTGTATTCTCTGTCCATTTCTTGGGTTGGATTTTTAATTGCTGACCTTGTGCAAAGGCAGGACAAGGAAGGCACCGCCGCCGCTGGCCTCGATGATGATGGCGACGAACTTGGGGTTGACGGCGCAGAAGGAGCTATCCCATGTGACTCGGGAGACGCGGATGTCATCGTAGCATTGGTCGTTTCTCACCGCCTGGCCGAAGACGTGGCGGAACTTGCTCTGTCGCACAACTCGCCGCAACATGTCTGCCAAAGGGTCCCCAACAGACAAAGCGTCAGTGGATGCAATGTGCCACATGGACACCATGTGTATACAATCTCCTTTTTTTTCATAGATTCGACTGTACAATGCCAATTTTTGAAAGCAGGGATGCCCAAACCTTTTCCAATGAGATCCACATACTAAAAAAAAAAAAAAAAAACGACAACTAAGTTGCAAAAACAAGTGAGCCACTTCTGGACACGGCTGTGGCCACCATATCGAAATCAGATGGGATGTTTTGCTCCAGTGCTTATTCAGGTTCGAATAATGAAATTGCATTGACAGCAAATGTCAAAAAAGGTTAATTCATTTGCGGCCTTCGGCTGCAACAAAACAGATGGGAGCGACAAAGTCTAATTTCATCATTTACCTGCGCCAATTTAGGAAAATGAATGTTTGCCAAGGAATACAACAGAGGGAGGTTGTGGCTTTCACAAACACTTTGTTGAAGGTAAGCTTTTATGGTGATCAGTGTTAGAAAACACATTACACACCGCATGCCGAGTACAAACGTCAAATGTCAATGTGTACTGTATATTTATGTTCATTAACACAGACTTAGGCAAAGTCGTTACTGTTTTAGCTTAAGTAAGCCAAGATGTCAACACTCCCAGGTCAAAATGGGACAATCTTGCTTATACTTCTGTCTGTGCACGGATTTGAGAGAGATGTTTCATTTGTGCAGGCCTCACAGTTGTTTATAACAGCGAGTTTGTCAATATTTTGTCAATTTATTATTTAAGATGACTGGACACGTTATACCATATCTAATTTGAACTGATTACGGTGACAGGGAAAAATCAAACAAATATAAACTAACACAATAGGGCAGGGGTAGTGAGCCGGGGAGTACAATGTCATGTGAAGAAAGCATGTAATGGGTAGTAAAGAGGACAGGATGAGATGGGACAGGGCAGAACAGGATGGGATAGGACAAGGATAGTGTGTGGTATACGGTAATGCCGATCTACAGAAATCCCCAAATTCTGCCGATATTAAAATTACTAGTATGGATCATTATGACAAAGGGGCTCAATTACACAATATCACCATTACTCGTGTGGACAAATCCAAATATGTGGGATGTTTTAATCCCCCACGTTTGACTTTATTTGAGTGTGTCTTGTTACTTCTGACTTTTTTTTTAACACAATGTCTCTGCCGACAGATGTGAAGCATTATGGAGGCAACATCTGCACCGGGCTAACTAAAACAATGGTGACTAGCCGATAGCGTTAGCCACCACCGAAGCGAGACTCGTGTTCGTCATTTTAATCGATTTGCTTACACTTTACGGACGCTAAACCTATCTGGGGTCAGTTAGAAACCATGTAGTGTGTATGTGAATCCGTTGAAATTACACGGGACGTGTTTATTAGCGAGTTGGCTAGCATACCCGAGCTAACATTCTCGTAAAACCTATTGAACGGGGTCGGGTGGATGTCGAGGAAGATACCCAGATCCTTGCCCAAAACATTTTGTTGTTCTTATATATTTAGTGCCATTAAGATGAAATATTACGTTAAATCCGGATTTTGGACATGTTAAGTACTCCAGCGGTAAACCGCTTCGCTCCGCCCGACCGACTGGCAGCTGCTCGCTGGTTCCTTCCGGAGCAGTCGTGGACCAAGAAATCGCCGTTTCACATCAAATGCTATGTTGTTTGAATATAAATGACAAAGTGAGAGAGTGATATTTTGGTGTGTCAACTACAAAAAGAAACGTGCGACATTTTCGGTCGGGCTGCCGCCCCCAGTGTTGGGCATCTGGCGGGCTAGCCTCGCCTAGCTTAGCCTAGCCTAGCCGCCTAGCTGCTAGCCGCGGTGGACCGCCGCCAGCTGACGCAAGTGCAGATATTTCCACCCAGCCCAGCCCAGCCTACGAGCTAACGGGTCTTGCGGAGCCCCCCAACCGACACGTAAAACACCCCCTCCCCCCCAAAAAAGCTCCAAAGCAAAGTAAAAACCACACATCGTTGCTGTTCTTACCTCCAAAAATCGATGCAATTCTTTCCCGAGGACAGTCAATCACGACACATGAATGTGTGGAGTTTTTAGGCGCGCCCTTATCCTGCAGGACGTTCCTCCAGTATCCCTTGTCTCCACACACGCACGCACACAAAACGCCTGATATTTGTCCTTAAAATCCCTCCTTCCTCGTCTTATGATTGCCCGTGTGTCAGGATGCTGGGTGTGGAATTTCGCATCCCCTTTGCTCTCATCACCTGCATGAAAGTGTCGCTTGTCCTTCTTTCCCCCCCCCAAAAAGCACGGTTATTACATTCAATGGGGTTTGGCGATGGGCTACTGCACATGCGCACACGGAGCCGCTAGCCACGAATGTGTGAATGGAGACGAGAGGGGAGGGGGGAAAGCCAAAGCCGGGAAGAGGGTGGTGGCTTCGGGGAGGAGGATGGGTGGATGCTGAGGGAAACTAGATCAAAAGATATATAGGGGCAACTGGATCAATAGAAGAACACATCTGTCATTGTAAAATATAAAGCACATAACATCCATCCATCCATTATCCATACCGCTTATGGTCATCTGGGTCATGGGCAACTAGGGCCTATCTAGCTGAGAGCACCCGACACCACGGACTATTTGCAAGTCAGATTTTCTAGGTGATGACACCTTTTGGAGAACATCCTACCTTTCTTTGGAGACGGCTGGTTTTCTTGCGGCCTTTCTTTGGATTTCTTTGGGACATCAAAGGCATTCTTCATCTGGGACACCTTGACGCCCGAGTTCTGCACTGCTACTCTCGCCTCGGTTTTGGCCCCTTCCGGTCTATCCCAGTCCTGACTTCTGTTTCTAGTTTCCTTGACCAGTTCTGACACTGGCTTGTAGGAATCTGCGTCTCGATTCGGTTTGCGGTCGGTAGCATTGTCCAGTGGGTTTGTCCTTTCAGGTAGAAGCGCTCGTCTCAAAGGCTGTTGGGTTTCGTGGTCAAACTCGACCTCTGAGACAAACGGATTTCGGGGCTTTTTCGCAACAGGTGGCGGTGACACTTTTTTATATCGATTCCGTCTTTCCAGGAATACTCTCCTCTGCAACATGTCCAAGTCCACGGGATCCTCATCCGGAGACAATTGCGCTACTCGGGCGCAGTAGTCAAAGTCGACCAATCCTCTGTACTCATTGTCCAGGCGGTCCAGCGGCAAACGCTCCCCAGGACTGATTTCCACCGACAGACGACGCATGTCGGATCGACTCCCGTAGCCGCTCCTCTCGTCCCACGACGCGCACATGTCCTGATTGGTCGGGCCGCTATTTAGGAAGCCTTTGTGAACATCGACAGTGTGTCTCCTCCTCGCCTTTTCTTCAGAACGGAGGTGATCTTTGCCTCGTCTCTCACCGGACATTATCTGAGCCGTTTTGAGCTTGATGAATGGGTTTTTGGGTTTTTTGGGAACCGGTGGAGGTGGACCTTTGGCTTTTGGCTTCTCCTCTGCTGTGACATCCGGTAACATCTGGACACTTGGGAATTCTTTCTCAGACATGAGATGAGTTAAAGGTGGAGGGGTGACCACCGCAGAAAAACAAAGCGGATCTGCCTCTTTTGTAAGCTGTGCAAAATGTGACCTACCTTCACAGCCTTTTGGGCTACAACAAATGGAATCGCTCAGGTCCAGAGACTGTCTTGAACAAGGTATCTGGGTTTCGCAGGTCGACTCTCTGGAGAAGGTTTGGCTAGCCCCTCTCGTGACTCCTTTGACTGCACCGGCAAACCTGCCCTGATGTGTCCCAACAACGTCCCCTTGGGTTTTGTGTACCGACCCTAGATTGCCCAACATCTCCGAGGAGGTTTCACAACTCCACCGGTCTGCCTCCTGAACTCCGTCAGCATCCGTCTTGAACGCCGTCTTTGCCGCCTCGTTGTGGCTTGTTGCTCCCACGTGCCGCATGTCGCCTCTCCCGGTTGTCTCGATATGACTCAATCCGCCATCTGTCACGTCCACCAAACGTTGACCCAGAATCTTCTCCGGCAGGCATCCCGCGGATGGTTGCGTGGCATCTACCTTGACTCCATTCCCGACGGCTGATTGACGATCGTCTTCTGTTTTGGTCTCGCGGCTGAAACAGATGGCGCTTTCTCCAGCAGGCGACACACGAGCGTCATCTTGTTCGAGAAGCACAAAGTCCTGCTCGTTCGGAAGTTCGCATGTATCTCTTCTGTCCGATCCATTTCCGCCGGCCTCCATCGCCGCAGACCTTTTACGGGCTACGGCCCTTTTCTGAGGCTCCAAAGTTTGTCCGGTCTCGCTGAAGTTCAGACCACATTTTGAGTCCTCAGCGGTACCAGTGTCATGCCGACACTCCCTCTCTCCACCCACCGCCTCTTCTGTTGTAGTCACAGGTCCATCCCTCACGCCCAGATGCCTGATTGGCTGCTCAATTTGGCGATCCATATGCTTCTCTGTCCGCTCTGACCGGGGGGAACCTCCTTCACCCTCCAGGCTTCTTCCCTCCCCGTTTTGCTCCCGGCCATCGGACGACTCCCCGTCCTTGTCTTGCATCTTGTCCACCTTCTGACCCATCGGTTGCAGTCCTGTCTTACAATCAGAAACACACCAGTCAAAGACACAGGCGACGGGATGTATTAATAGTGGCGTAACAAGAGTGACATCACATAACAGGCATCGCCGTCTATCTTTAAACCATTCCTGAAACCCCTCTCCTCTATTTTGGTGTATTCCTCACACCCTCCCGAAGGACTTCCTATCTATCTTCTGCCATTCCGCGTGGTAGGAATGCGCTGCCGGCTATAATTAGGCAGCTCGCATGCAGCCAGTGAGTCAGGAGGCCAATAAAGGCAACTGGACACGTGAGATAAGAGCCGGTTGACAAGGTCACTTTGAAATTTAGGGGAAGTCCGATTTATGGGAAAAGCACTTTGAGAAGCATCGCAACCTTCTGGAGCGGTTCAGGTGTCCCTTCAGAGGCATCACATTGCGATGTGAAGTTGTATGCGGTTAGTACTAATACTTTGTCACTGTACTTAAGTACCGGTAGATTTTTCTGGTGGCTGTACTTTTCTCGAGTATTCATTTTTCTGTCAGATTTGAACTTTTATTCCTGAGATTTGAACACAGACATCTGTATTGGATGCTGATTTATTTTTCAAAATATCCTCGTAACTTTTTAGGACTTTCTCGGATTCCTTCACACTATTAAAAAATTTAAAAAATGAAATGATTATCGGCAAAGTCAACCACGGCGGGGATCTTATTGACGGATTCATTGAGATCTTGCGGAGTTTTTAAAGTGGGGAAAAAAAAGGAACACACACACACACGTACAAGTATCTGTACTTCCATAGAGTGTGACGAAATTTGCCACCTGTGCCGCTTTGGACGCCGGCCTTTGTTTGGTCCGTCGATTGTTTTGGTTACGCCGTCCCATGCAAAGGTCAACCAGAATTCACGGCTCGAGTCACAGGTGGCTTGACGCCTGCCCTCAACCGTTTGTTTGGGGCTTGACGGATGATGGATGGTGAAGGATAGGAGAGATTATTGCAAAACGGCAGGGATAAAGATCAGCTGAGTTAAATGCCATGTAGAGGAGTAATGGTTATTTTCAGGCCTGGAAGCAAACGCTACATATGCAAAACAACAGGTTGGATTTTGAAATGGAGGGTGGCTAAATACAAAACAGTGGCCCTTTGCGGTCATCACTAAACTTTAGAGAATGACACGCGTCAATTGTGCTGACTCATGACACATACAGCACATGTGACAATAAAGTTGTATTCAATTCAATAATCCTCAAGTACTTTTGCAAATGGAAAGGAAGAAATACAGTGATTTTTTTTTCTCAAAAATCTGCTTCTAAAGTCTCATCAAACCGCCATCAAACCTAAATGAGCGCCAATCGGAAGCAACCATTTTATGCTGGATTCACTATTTATGGTTCAAATGACAGAATAGTGATATTGTGAAATCATAATATGCATCGGCGTTGTAAGGAGAAAAAAATAAATAAACAGAAGAGAATTGGGCATCTTCAGATCAGAATCCGGCCCTTTTTAAAAATCTGATACGGATTAAAATATGTTCTGCACAAATACAATGTAACCGTCCGACTGGTGACGTATACACACACACACACACACGCACGCACGCACGCACGCACGCACGCACACACACGCACACACACACACACACACACACACACACACACACGCACACACGTTTGTCCAAACAAACACAATCAAAACACACGCTGTAAATCTAAACTACAGTCAACCATTAAATATTTGCGTAAATGTGCTCCATTAGAGGAGCGTGGAACATTTAATACGATGGACTAAACTATGTCATTTTTGTTATCGATTAATGTTCTCGTGTACTTGTGTGCCATTACAGCCTTCCCAACATTAGTTTTGTACTTGACATCAGTTTTTTTTTTGTGGTCTTGTTTTCAACCACAGATTGCACACCGCATGTCGATTCTAGCGAAGGGATTGGTCGCCGATATTGAGTTTGTCTCAAGCGTTACACCCCCCCCCCCCCCCCGGCTTTGTTTTCTCTCGCTCATCCGCTAGCACAGCGTTTTATCGAAGACTTGTGACTTGGAGCGCACAACCTATTACCCTGCTTTGCGTTTTTATTTATTTATTTAAATTCTTCTTTTTAGTGAATATTAAACATTTATTTTGACATTTGTAAACACTTCCCCCATAGGATCGACCTAGCACGGACACAGGTGGTGAAAGCGGGGTAGAAACGTCATTAAAATGTATGAAGAGTATGCAATTTGAGAAAGGTTACACGGTTGTAGCTTTAACATTTTTTTTTTTTTTTAATACGTCGTCGTTTCTAGAAGATACGGTAAATTATAGCGTAGGACACGGTAAACGTTGACGATTTTCATTCACCGTTTCAACTGTCTTCATGAAACGTGTTTAAATTAACATTCAGTAGGAACAACACATGACACGTACAGTATGTAAATATACCAGGTACAAAAATGCTTAATACAAACAATGTGAATTTGGGGAATACTTACTGTGCAAATCGCTTGAAAAAAAAACCCCAAACGTGACGCTCTTTCTGGCTGTTTTCCTCTAAAGCGTCTTAAAGTGAATAACTTAATTAAGAGTCTCAAGGGGGAGGCACAAGAAGAGATGCGGCTGTTATTTATTTTTTTGTGAAGGGGGTGTCACACTTTCCATGCTTTTATTTTCAAAACAAACCGAAGACTGTAAAATATAATCCAGTGAACAATTAGCAATGTTATAGTACTGAAGGTTGGTAGGATGCATTTGACCATCCATTTTTGGGAGCAGACTTTTATCAGACTGCGTGTTCTTTAACCACCATGAGGGACATATAATTTTGGGTGTGTGGATTTTCCTTGAATTAGATATCTATATGTTTTTTAAAGAAAAACGACAATACTTCCTCTTGTACCTTAGCCAATGTTAACTGGATCCCAAGGAGCTGCGAGCTTGCTCCACTAGTTAGATTTAAATAATTAGGTTTTGCCTTTACTCTGGATTTGACCCATTTTGTATGCGTTTGTGTGTGTGTGCGTGCGTGTGAGAAACAGTGAATGTAAGAGTGTGAGCACACCAAAAACAGGAACTTCAGCCAAACAAACACTGTAAACAATGTCTTTGGAGAGGCTACAGTTCAACGAAAACAAGAGAGCTGTGACGGAGCTGTTTTCTTTGGTGGGGGGGGGGGGGGTTCCCAGATCCTCAAAATGAACTTAGATGCCAGGTTACATCCAAATCAGATGAATTAGAGCAACAAAAAAAGCCATTTGTGTCATTTACCTGCTTCCAACAGGGCGTCAAAAATCATAAATAGCAGAAGGTGAAAGTACAACGATTTGGTCCTTTCATGCGTCCTCTTATGAAAGAAACGTCCACCCACTCGTGTCATTTGGTGAAAATGGTGTCAACGGACTATTTTTACAAATTTTCTAGGATGCACCAAAGACTCAATTTGCCACTTCAAACCAAATTGCTAAATTCTTGTTTAATTTATATTTTGGGGTTGAGTTCACGGGTCCTTAAGACTTTTTTTAATGCGTCCTGTTTTGATTCGCTCAATTTCCGACTAAGCCTGAGAACTGCTCTGTCCTTTGACCTCTGGTTCGTCCATAACTTCTACGTCTGCCGAGTTGCAAGCATGTGTGGGGTCTTCACAACTCATGGGCGAGACCAGTTTCTGGCGAAGAAGCGGGACCTCGGCGGAAGGATCCGGTAGAGACTGTGAAATGAAAATGGTTCCCGGGGGGTCGATGCAGATGGTGGGGAGGGTGCAGTGTCGAATAGGGTGAGAGGGGTTGAGGCGGTGGGATCGTGTCCCCGCCGGGCGGTCGCAGCGCCGACCCTGCGGTAGACGAAGGCAGCAGTCTTTGCAGGACTGGTAGGAGGGTTTGACTTTTAAAGGGTTGCCCGTACTAGCACTGTCCTGCAAGGAGAAAAAGGTAAAAGACTCAATTAGACGACAATGTAATCAGTAATACTAAAAGTGTTGAAATGTTGAATACGTGAACATTAGAGTTTATCCTAAATTTGAGAAAAAAAAATTTGTGAGGCAGATTTTGGACCCACAAAAACAATTGATACTTCAGTTCTAGCAAAAACAGAGTTGTGCGAAATTTGAGAAATTTAAAAAAATGACATTGTGACTTTATTCAGAATCATTCCTAAGTCGCTACTCCGGAACAATTATACCTTGCATGTTCAGTATTTGCCTATTCATGGATTTTTCTTTTCAACCGGGCCCGCTGATTTTGTGTGACCAACGCTAACAACTTCATTTGGACAAAAGTATCACTTTGCTGGTTTCTTGTGTAATCGCGGTGACGAAGACCTTTGTGGGCCGTCTATGGCAATCCCAAAACCTTTTGCCCCACCAAAAAGTCCCAATCGTCACCCTTGGTGTTCCTCAAGTTGGAACATGTGTGATGTCACGTCAGCTTGTGCTAATGGATCATTTAGGCTAAGGTGCTAGCTAACACCATTGCTGAGCGATGGTTTCTTTGTGTGTAGTGATTTGACTACTGAATAGTCGCTTATATAACATTGGTTCACGACTGCACATGCTAGATACATAAGATAAGATAAGAAAACCTTTATTAGTCTCGCAATGGAGAAATTCCCAATTCACAGCAGCAAAGTTATGAAAGGAAGATGTTGATGGTGTTGATGCTTTATGATCATCTTGTTTTTAAGTGCTTGGCCGCCATCTTATGGCATCCGACAATTACAAACCCCTCATAGGGTGGGTGTCAATGATTCATGGTTTTCGCGATTCTACTCTACTCACGTCAAACGCAGCCGGGCAGCTCCGCTTGGCGGCCAGCCGGTTGCTGTTGTTGGTGTTCCAGTTGG